TACCCTATCAGTCAACTTTGAGTAAAGGAGATTGTTGCTGTTAGGTGCCATTGAGTCAGTTCTGACACTATGAACAACAGAATGAAACACTGCCCGTTCCTGAGTCATTCTCACAATTGTTGCTATGTGTGAGTCCACTGTTGCAGCAACTGTGTCAACCCATCTCATAGAGGATCTTCCTTTTTGTCACTGACTGACCTTCTAATTTACCCAGCATGATGTCCTTCTCTAGGCACTGGTCCCTCCTGATAACATGTCCAAAGTATGAGAGACAAAGTCTCACCATACTCACTTGTGAGGAGCGTTGTGGCTGTACTTCTTGCAGGACAGATTTGTCCTTTCTTCTGGTGGTCCATGGTATATTCAGTGTTCTTCACCAACACCATTATTCAAAAGCATCAACTCTTCTTTGGTCTTATTCATTGTCCAGCTTCCACATGCATATGAGGTGATTGAAAATACCATGGCTTAGGTCAGGCTGACTTTAGTCCTCAAAGTGACATCTTTGCTTTTTAACACTTTCAAGAGGTCATTTGCAGCAGATTTGTCCAGTGCAATATGATGTCTGATTTCTTGACTGCTGCTTCCACAGGCAGCATTTTTTAGGAGCTCTGGTAGCATAATGCCTAAGGTACTTCACTGCTAACCAGAAGGCTGGTGGTTCAAACCTACCAGCCACTCCTCAGAAGGAAGGTTGGGCGATCTACTTCCGTAGTGATACTGCCTTGGAAACCCAGACAGGGGTCGCTATCGGTCAGGTTTGACTTGACGGCACATAACAACAACAGCTTCGATGGGTGTTAATTGTAGATCCAAGTAAAATGCAATCTTTGACAACCTCAATGTTTTGTTTGTTTATTGTGATGTTGCTTATTGGTCCAGTTGTGAGGATTTTTGTTTTCTTTATGTTGAGATGTAATCCATACTGAAGGTTGTAGTCTTTGATCTTCATCGGTAAGTCCTGTAAGTCTTCTTCACTTTCAGCAACAACGTTGTGTCATCTGCATGTGGCAGGTTGTTAATTAGTCTTCCTCCAATCCTCACGCTGCGTTTCTCTTCATATCATCCAGTTTCTCAGATTATTTTCTCAGCATACATCTTGAGTAAGTATAGTAAAAGGACACAACCTTGACACACAGCTTCCCTGGTTTTAAACCACTCATTGTCCCCTTGTTCTGTTCAAATGACTGCCTCTTGGTCTATGTACAGGTTCTGCATGAGATTACCCTCCATAACGTGTATGGGTCTCATCCAATAAGAGCAAATACTGAGTTTTCTTGAAGAAGAAAAAATTCAGGTCTTCAGCATCAAATTCTGCCCATGTTTCCAGCCTGCTGGCCTTTCCTACCCTTTTTGGACTTGGTAGTCCCCACAATTATGTAAGCCAATTCCTCAAAATAAATCCATATATTACCAGTTACCAGCTGTTGTTGACTTCACCCCAACTTATGGCAATTTTGTGTGTGTCAGAGTAAAGCTTTGCTCTATAAGGTTTGTAATGGCTGATTTCTTTCTTTTGGAGGTAGATATTACCAGATCTTTCTTCCAAGGCACCTCTGGGAAGACTTGAACCTCCAGCCTTTGAGTTAGGAACAGAGTGGATTAACTGTTTGCGCCACCCATGGACTCAAACTCCATAGATATATCTAGGAGAGATCTCTGTCCTATTAGCTGGGCTTCACTGGAGAACCTGACATGCCTTCTTTCTTCTCCTTTCTGGGATGTGTACTTCCATGGAATACTTGGTCAAATACCACCAGCTTGGAAAGAAGATCTGTCAGCCAGAGAATGCTGACTGGAAGGAAGGGCTTTTGGGATCCACAAGACTTAATGTGGAACCGCCATGCCACCGTGTCCACAGTTGGCTCCTCCTTCAAAGGGGGAGATGAGCAGGCTTCAGGACTGATGTATGCCCTCATGAGACCCACATAGAGCACTTCCGGGTCTTGGGGGGCAATGTGGGCCCTGTGGATGTCAGTTCTCCCCACTCCTCAGTGTCTCATAGTACTGGCGTGTTACTGGGTGAATCATTTCTTTGGGACTAAGTTCCCTCAGTTATGAAAAGATTCCAAGAATTCCTGCCAGCTGTGAAACCCTGCTCTCCATGAGGATGTTTGGGTCTGAATTTTATTTCAATAAAACTGATAGTGAGAAGAACCCCTGTAGTGAGTCACTGGAAACGGTCATTCATCTTAAAGAGAAGCAATAGATAAACAGCCCACCCTCACATTAAAAGTAGATTAGTACTATTTTGTCATTAAGACTCTACAATTAACCAAAGGCAACAGTTTGACAAACTTCTAATGCCTTAGCACACTCCTACATTTCTCAAGCTTGGTTTAAATGCTACTTCTTCCATAAAGCCGTTAGTGTCTTTCCCTTTTAGAGTTACTTTTCTCTTCCCGTATTTTCTCAAGACCATATTTTACAGACTCAAAGCATGGCGCCTTTCATTTACCTGGGTACCTCCCCATTGTTCAGAACCAACTATGCCGTGAGTGGTCCTGTATCATTTGTACCCACCAGGATAAGAGTAAGTTTTCAGTAAATAGCTGACCAAAAGAGCTTGTAGATCCTCAACCAATAGCCAAAACAATCATGAAGATGATGCAGGACTCAGCAGCCTTTCATTCCATTTCACCCCAGGTTACTCTAGGGCAACCAACAACAGGAACAACTTTCAATAGCAGTTACTCAGAGGGGATTATGGGGTGTTCACTTTTCTGTGTACATGTTATACTTCAAAAACTTTACTTAAGCCATACATTTTAAAATGGAAAATTATTCTGAGTTGAGTTATAAGAACAAAAGGAGGATTCAAGTATATATGGAATAGGATTACTACTGTATGAGAATAAAAGGTATATCAGTGCCCAGAATAAAGACCACAAGGGAATTTGCCAAACTCCCTTGGGTAGTATGATGATGATGGGTGGTTTCTTCTTCGTTTCTATCTTTCCAAGTTTTACTTATTTAATGAGGTTGTTTTGCTTTCTAAAAGTAACAAAGTACTAGATAAAAAAGGAAGCCAGATTCCTATACTTTTCCTACCATTGTTTTTGTCACAGACTGACTTGCTCTTCTGCTGTCAGATGTGAAAGTGAAAAGTAAAGATTGGGTGGAATTTATAACTCGAGACAAGAATTTTATGAACCCTCCAGCTTGTGAAACATTGAAATTGTTTCCCTCTAACAAAAACTGTGGAACGGAAGAGAAAGAAGACCAAGTGTCACTCGTCCTCATCCTCCTGGCATCTGTGTCTATAAAGCACCTTGTTAGAACACTCCACGCAGCGAGGTGCAGAACAAAGTGCTCTGTTGAAAACAATCAGAAATGCCCCTGGGAGCCTCTGCCTCTTTGCACCAGCATCGGTCCTGTCTGTTCACATCAGTGAGGAAGAGTGAAAGGAAACCAGCTACTCCCTAAAGTAGAAGAATGGTCCCCTAAAGACTGTAACTGTCTTCCCTTTGGATTTATTTGCAAGAGAACCTCACCCCTGACTGTCTACAGGTGAGACACAGACTACACACCCACCATAAAGAAGGAAACCGAAGCTCAGAGAGGTTGTGTGCTTTTCCAGTATCACATAGCCAAGACGTGCCAGAGCCACGGTTCAAATCTGGTTTGGACTCACTACAGAACTTGTGAATTTCCTACCAGATTCTAGAATCTCCCAATAGTTTTGTCCAAATGTTTATTTTGCATACTGGAAGTTATCGAGAAAGAGAGGTGAGCTCTATGTCTCCCCCTTTTCAAACACTTTTGCTTATCACTAAAGTCACTCTCTCCATTATAATTCCCGAATGACTGAATGTCCTTTCACTTTGCTTTGCAAACTCCTGTGCCTTTGTGGTGGTGAGCTGACAGCTCATGGTTTTGAATGGCCTCTGAAGTCTTCTTCAAAGCAAACAATAGTTTAGCTGAACAAGCAAACAATGTCTGCCTTGAGCATTGTGTTCTTTTAAGATTTCCTAAGTCTTGGCAGCAGGATTTGAGGATCACGTGAACTCTCCAAGCCAGCTCCAGGAATGCTATGGCCTCTTGTCTATTCTGTGAGTAGGTAAGCGTTCAAAGAGAGCAGTGTATTTAAAGGCAGTCAAATGGGAGCAGTAATGGTTCAGGGGCAGGATTCTCTCCTCGCATGATGGAGACCTGGGTACAATCCCCAGCCAATGGACGTCATGTGCAGCCACCACCAGTCAGTGGAGGCTTGTGTGTGGCTATGATGCTGAAGAGGTTTCAGTGGAGCTTCCAGATTAAGAAAGAGTAGGAAGAAAGGCCTGATGATCTACCTCTGAAAAGTAGGCAGTGACCTTCTCATTGCAATGGTCGGATCTATAACTTATGTGGATGGTGCAGGACCAGGCAGTGTTTCATTCCATTGTGCATGGGTTGCCATGAGTTGGGGGACAATTTGACGACAGCTAATAACAATAACCTGCTACTGTCTAGTCTACTCTGACCCCAAGTGTTACAGAGTAGAACTGAGCCCCATAGGATTTTCTTGGCTGTAACGTTTATAGAAGCAGTTTGCCAGACCTTTCTTCTGTTGCACCACTGGGTGAGTGCAAATTGTTTCAACAATAAAAATCCATTGCTGTCGAATTGATTCTAACTCATACAAAACTTATAGGACAGAACAGAACTGCCCCACAGGGTTTCCAAGGCTATTATCTTTATGAAAGCAGACCATCACATCTTTCTCCTGTGGACTGGCTAGTGGGTTTGAACTGATGGCCTTTTGGGTCCTATCTGAGCTCTTAAACCACCAAACCACCAGGGCTCCATTCAACAACAATAGGAAAGTAAAATATAGAACAGAATATTCTATAGATGTGTAGGATGTCAGTGACACACTGCAGGATGAGCTTTGAAGGTCCAGACAGTTTGGAGTGACTAACGGATCTTTGGAGGCATGCTTGCTCTTCTTTACCTGGGGTCCCTGAAGCACCATTTATCACCCTGTGAATGTTTCTAGAAATAACTGTCAGTTTACTTACAGAGAAGATGGCAGCCAAAGTCTCCACGCCACCTGTGCTCAAGGTGATATATGGAATCTTTTCTGGAGGAATCCCAGCCGTTCCAAAGATGCTATTGGTGTAGAACCAGATCTATAATGCAGGAAAGAAAGAAAGGCAGAGGTCAATGGGAGGCATCTATTTCCTAAATCAAACTGAAGTACAGATGCTCTCTGAGATTCGCTGCTAAATCCAGAGTCATGAGATGGGGCTATGTCAGTGTAGCCAAGTACTTGGTTTCCCTCCTTCATCACCAATAGATCAATCTCCTGTATTTCTAGGAGGAAAAATGTGCCTGTCAAAAGGCCATGTTTCCTAGCCTGCTTTACAGCTAGGTGTGACATTGAGATAAGGAACACAAATGGTGGTAGTGCTTCCAGGAAGTCTCTTTAGGAGCATTTCATGAATGAGATATGCTCTCCCTTTTGCCTTTCCTCTTTTGTGGTCAGGATGCTGGATGTGGTGGCTGGAGCTTCTGCAGCCCTCTTGTGTCAATAGGTGACTTAAGGGCAGCAGTGCAATTACCACCCTTGGAACTTTGTGAGAATGAGAAAAGGTGGCCTTTCCAGAAGATGAGAAGAAACAGCTGCAAACATCCATTAGTAATCAGAACATAGAATATAGGAAGTATGAATCTAGGAAACCTGGAAGTTGTAAAAACTAAATTGGAACATATAATGACTGATGTCCTAGGAATTAGTGAGCTGAAATAGACTGGTATCGGTCATTTTGAATCTGACAATAACATGGTCTGCTATGCCTGGAATGGAAAATTGAAGAAGAATTGCATTGCTATCATTGTCAAAAAGAACATTTCAAGATCTATACATATCTGTCAATATTAAGGTTGGGGACTGATGTAGATGTGCAAGGGGTTTAGGTGTGGCTCTATATTAAGGCAGGGACATGAAGTAGGCAGGCCTGGGGCTTGGAGGCTGCTTTTTGCTTGGGTGTGGCTATATTAATGCCCAGGTCCACGGTAGGCAGGTGCAGAGGGGTTAGGAGATGAACTTGTCTGTCTGTTTGTCGTCCTGTGGTGGCTTACGTATTGCCATGAGGCTGGAGGCTATGCCACTGTGTTGCAAAATGCCAGCAGGATTACCCATGATGGAGAGGATTCAGCAGAGTTTCTGGGCTTAGACAGACTCAGAAGAAGGAAAAGGCCACCCACTTCTCAAAAAATTGGCCAGTGAGAACCTTATGAATAGTAGTGAAACACTGTCTGACATATTACTGGGAAACCTGATGAAAACCCTGAAATATTGTCTGACATAGTGCCAGAAAATGAGCCCATCAGGTCAGAAGGCACTGAAAATTTGACTGAGAAAGAGCTGACTCCTCAGAGTAGAGATGACCTTAATGATATGGATAGAGTAAATCTTTCAGGACCTCCATTAGCTGGTGTGGCACAATTCAAAATGAGCAGAAACAGATGAAAAAAATCCATTAATAATTGGAACATGGAATGTATGAAGTATGAATCTAGGAAAATTGGAAGTTGTCAAAAATGAAATGGAACACATAAAGATTGATATCCTAGGCAGTAGTGAGCTGAAATGGACTGGTTTTGGCCATTTTGAATCAGACAACCATGTAGTCTACTATGCCGGGGATGACAAATTGAAGAGGAATGGTATGGCATTCATCATAACAAAGAATGTTTCAACATATGTCCTGAAGTATAATGCTGTCAGTGATAGGCTAATACCCATACACCCACAAGGAAGACCAGTTAATATTACTATTATCCAAATTTACGCACCAACTACCAAAGCCAAAGATGAGAATATCCCACAATTATCCATCATTCATCACCATTCTCCATACTTCACACTGGTCAAAACCTAGCCCACCACTGCCCTAGATCTAATTTGATTAGAAAAGCTATCCCTAAGATTTCTACCAACTTCTGCAGTCTAAAATTGATCAAACATGCAATCAAGATGTGTTGATTATCACTGGTGACTGGAATGCAAAAGTTGTAAACAAAGAAGAGTTAATGGTAGTTGGAAAATATGGCCTTGGTGATAAAAATAACACTGGAGATCACATGATAGAATTTTGCAAGACCAATGACTTATTCATTACAAACTTTTTCAACAACACAAATGGCAGCTATACATGTGGACTTCATAGGAATACATAGGAATCAGATTGACTACATCTGTGGCAAGAGACAATGGAAAAGTTCAATATCTTTGGCCAAAACAAGGCCAGGAGCTGATTGTGGAACAGACCATCTACTGTTCATATGCTTGTTCAAGTTGAAGGTGAAGACAATGAAAACAAGTCCATGAGAGTCAAAATATGACCTTGATTATATCCCTCCTGAATTTAGAGACTATCCAAAGAATAGATTTGATGCACTGAACACCAGTGACCAAAAACCAGAGGAATTGTGGGATGACATCAAGAACATCATCCATGAAGAAAGCAAAAGGTCATTAAAAAGACAAGGAAGGAAGAAAAGACCAAAATGGATGTCAGAAGAGACTCTGAGACTTGCCCTTGAGAGTAGATAAAGCAAATGGAAGAAATGACAAGATAAAAGAGCTGAACAGAAGGTGTCAAAGAGCAGGTCAAGAAGACAAAGCCAATTACTATGATGAAATGTGCAAAGACCCGGAGTTAGGAAACCAAAAAGGAAGAACACACTCGGCATTTCTCAAGCTGTAAGAACTGAGGAAAAAATTTTAGCCTTGAGTTACAATATTGAAAGATTCTATGGGCAAAATATTGAATGATGCAGGAAACATCAAAAGAAGATGGCAGGAATACACAGAGGCACTGTACCAAAAAGAACTGATTGATCTTCATGCATTTCAGGAGGTGGCATGTGATCATGAACCAGTGGTATTGAAGGAGGAAGTTGAAGCTGCACTGAAGGAATTGGCAAAGAACAAAGCTCCAGGAATTGATGGAATGCCCATTGAGATGTTTCAAAAAAAGGATACCCTGCTGAAGGTACTCGCTTGGTTATGCCAAGAGATTTGGAAGACAGCTACCTGGCCAGCTGACTGGAAGGATCCACATTTGTACCCATTCCAAAGAAAGGTGATCCCACAGAATGTGGAAATTATTGAACAATATCATTAATATCACATGCAAGTAAAATCTTACTGAAGATAATTCAAAAATGGTTGTAGCAGTATCTTGACAGAGAACTTCCAGAAATGCAAGCTGGATTCAGAAGAGGACGTGGAATGAGGGCTATCATGGCTGATGTTAGATGGATCTTAGTTGAAAGCAAAGAATACCAGAAAGAAGTTTACTTATGTTTTATTGACTATGCAAAATCATTAGATTGTGTGGATCATAACAAATTGTGGATAACACTGGAAAGAATGGGAATTACAGAACACGTGATTGTACTCATGAGGAACCTGTACATAGATCAGGAGGCTGTCATTTGAACAGAACAAGAGGACACTGCATGGTTCAAAATCAAGAAGGGAGTGCATCAAGGTGATATCCTTTCACCATGCTTATTCAGCTTGTATGCTGAGCAAATAATCTGACAAGCTGGATTATATGAAGAAGAACATGGCATCAGGATTGGAGGAAGAGTCATTAGCAACCTGAGATACACAGATGACACAACTTTGCTTGCTGAAAGTGAGGATGACTTGAAGCACTTACTGATGAAAATTAAAGGCTACAGTCTGCAGTATGGATTACACCTCAATATAAAGAAAGCAAAAATCCTCACAACTGGTCCAATAAATGGCTTCATGGTGGATGGCGAAAAGATTGAAGTTGTCAAGGATTTCATATTACTTGGCTGTACAATCAACACCAAAGGAAGCAGCAGTTGAGACATCAGAGGACATATTGCATTGGGCAAATCAGCTGCAAAGGACCTCTTTCAAGTGATGAAGAGGAAAGATGTCTCTTTGAAGACTAAGGTGCACCTAACCCAAGCCATGGTATTTTCAATCACCTCTTATGCATGTAAGAGCTGGACAATGAATAAGGAAGACCAAGAAGAGTTAATGTTTTTAAGGTGTGGTGCTGGAGAAAAATGCTAGAGTACCATGGACTGTTGAAAGGACTAACAGATCTGCCCTGGAAGGAGTGCAGCTGGAATGCTCCTTGGAAGTGAGAATGACCAGACTTCGTCTCCTCTACTTTGGTCGTCAGAAGGAACAATTCCCAGGAGAAGGATATCATTCTTGGTAAAGTGGAGGGTCAACAAAAAAGGGGAAGGCCCTCAACGAGATGGATTGACACAGTGGCTGCAACAATGGGCTCAGGTATAACAAGGATCGTGAGGCTGGCACAGGACTGGACAGTGTTTTGTTCTGCTGTGCATAGGGTTGCTATGAGTCAGAGGGGACTTAATGGCACCTAACAACAACAACACCACACCTGAATTTAGGGGCCATCTCAAGAATAGATTTGACACATTGAACACTAATGACCGAAGACCATATGAAATGTAGAATTACATCAAGGACATCATACAAGAAGAAAGAAAAAGGTCACTAAAAAGACAGAAAAGAAAGGAAAAAACCAAAATGGATGTCAGAAGAAACTCTGAAACTTGCTCTTGAATGTGGAGTAGGTAAAGCAAATGGAAGAAATGATGAAGTAAAAGAGCTGAACAGAAGATTTCAAAGGATAACTCAAGAAGACAAAGTAAGTATTATAATGAAATGTGCAAAGACCTGGAGTTAGAAAATCAAAAAGAAAGAACATGTTCAGCATTTCTCAAGCTGAAAGAACTGAAGGAAAAATTCAAACCTCAAGGTACAATATTAAAGGATTCTATGGGCAAAATACTGACTGACACAGGAGCATCAAAAGAAGGTGGGAGGAATATACAGTGTCACTCTACCTCAGAAAATTAGTTGACTTTCAACCATTTCAGGGGTAGCCATGATCAAGAAAGAATAGTATTGAAGGAAGAATTCAATCTGCAATGAAAGCACTGGCAAAAAAAAAAAGGAAACAGAAATGGATGGAGGACCTATTGAAATATTTCAACAAATGCAGTACTAGAAGTGCTCATTCACGCATGCCAAGAAATTTGGAAAACAGCTACCTGGCCAATTGACTGGAAGAGATCCATGTTTTTACCAATCCAAAGAATA